CACGAATACGTGCATATGTAAGTCTTTTTGAAAACGACGATCTATAAAAGTTTCCAAAATTTTGTAAATGTATACGTATTTATGCAGCTGACTGTACATATATACTTAATGAATGATGAATTAGAATGTTTAAGTGGATGGATGGATGGATAGATGGATTGATGGATGGATGGATGGATGGTTTGTTTGAAGATATCTCCAGAATGGCTGAACGGATTTCGATTAAATTTGCCATACATTTAGAACATAGTCTGGAAGGGCACATAGGCCACTAACTACGTTTTATTTTTTAATTCCACGCGGACGGAGTCGCGGGCGGAACTTGTGTAATTATATAAGAAGCCACTAATCACTGCATGTTATTGACATTTAATTAAAAACTAGTTTGTATTTTGTGTAGTGTGTTTATGTTCCCAACATTCATCACTCGGGCTCAGTACTTAGTGACATCACCACAAATATAGTCATTGGAACAATGTTGTCTGGAATATTGTTTTTTATAAGTGGATTATTATTTGCTATCTATAATTTCTTCATAAAATATAGACATTATTGGAAGAAAAGAAATATCCCAGAAGTTCACGGTGTTATGTGGAAATTTATCACAGGTAAGAAATCTTTAGCCGAAATTCATAAAGAAATTTATTACTCTTACCCCGAAGAAAACAACATCGGCCTGTATAATGGACTAAAACCCGCTTTAATTATAAAGGACTTGGAAAACATAAAAGCAGTGTTGCTCGGCGATTTCCAAAGCTTCTACAGCCGCGGTTTAAACATGAACCAAAATGATCTACTAGCGGACAGTGTACTTTTTATGGAAGACTACGAAAGGTGGAGACTTGTAAGATATAAAATCTCGCCGGTATTTACTATGAAAAAACTCAAAAACATGTTTTACATAATGGAGCGATGCGCCAGAGATTTTATAGATTTTATAGAAAATAATCAAGGAGCAATGGACAAACCATTCAACGCTTTGTACACGTACACCACGGCTTCACTCACTGCATCTATTTTTGGTATTGAAGCGAATACTAAAAACACTATGGATTCAACTTTTATAAATATGGCTTCAAAGACAACGACACCGTCGTTCTCATTAAATTTAAAATATGCCCTAGCCAGTACAGTTCCGAAGCTGTTCAAATTTCTAAAATTGAAATTCTTCGGTGATCAAGAATCTTATTTTATAAATGTCGTAAAGCAAGTATTGAAGGAGCGCCGCAGACACAATGACAAGAGACACGACTTCATAGATACTTGCATTGAGTTACAAAACGAAGGTGTTATGCAAAATTTAACAACGGGATATCAGTTGATACCATCTGATGAACTGATGGCGGCGCAGGCGTTCTTTTTCTTCATCGCCGGAGCTGACACATCCGCGCATTCGATGCTCTTTGTTTTGTTGGAACTTTCTGGAAATCCGGGGATACTTAAAAGGTTACATAAAGAAGTTGATGATGTTTTTGAGAAATGTAATGAAAAAGTAACCATTGACGACATCGAAGAATTGAAATATATGGATATGGTAATGAATGAAGCGTTCAGAAAGTATCCAACAATCGGTAAGATACAAAGAAGATGTACTAAAACAACAACTCTGCCCGTGGGACAAGTGAGAATTGAAAAAGACGTGCAAGTCATTATACCGATATACGCGATACACCGAGATGAAAAGTATTATCCTAATCCAGACGTTTTTGATCCTGAAAGATTTTCTCCGAAAAATATTTTGAACATACCTAAGTATGCTTATCTGCCGTTTGGTGAAGGAAATCGGATTTGTATTGGTAAGTATAATTTCTAAATTGTACCAAAGATACCTAAACGCTCACAGACAAAATCTTACTAATATTAAAACTGCGAATGTTTGTTGTATGTATGTTTGTATGTTTCACGATATCTCCGGAAAGACTGAACGAATCTCGCTCAAATTTGGCATAGATGTAGAATATAGTCTGAATGAACACATTGGTTTCTATTAAGTTTTTTTTTAATTCCGCGCGGACGGAGTCGCGGGCGGCAGCTAGTAACTTATTAAGTCATTTCAAACATTTGCATTAATAATAAATTTGTTTCCGTAATTTTCATTCTAATATATATGTACCGATAGTCAACTGTCATTAAGAACATTATGTTTTCTTCTTTCTTGTTCTTTTTTTTAAATTTTGGTATTTTTTTTTCAGGAGCGAGATTTGCTCGTCTACAATTAAAAGTTGGCTTGGCGTGGCTTTTGAGACGGTACACATTGAAGGAACAAGTGTACGATCCAAAATATTTTGAGCCCAGCTTTTTCGCACTGAGAGATACTGCAGCTCGCATCGACTTCATTCCAAGGAGAGTTTAAAATTGTCATTTAATTTGTATTTACTAATAAAATGTACCACTTAAATTTTTTTTCTATATTTTTTAAATAGCGATTTTTTTTAAATTCGCTTAATTTTATCAAAATGGTGAGTTTTGTCAAAGAGTTACCTGAGAACAAAATTGTGGATTAAAAAATTCCCTATTTTGTAATACTAATGGGTTTGTACCCATACATACCTTTTTTATAAGTGCCACCATTCCTGCGATACAGAGCTCTCATTTCTTTATTAATTTTTAAACTAACTAGAAGTTTAGTAGATTTAAAGTTTGGGTTCAAAAGGCGTTACGAAAATTTGGAACTTTACATCTATCTTCGTAGGCCCAACTATAGGACCTTTATAATAATGATGTATGAAGGACTTGTAGCTCTTTAAATTTCCTAAATAAAAGTCCTTTTTAGCATATGTCCATCTTTTATTGTTTTTTTCGCAATAACCGTTTTTTTAAAACATCAATAAAATACATGCGGTACTTCCAACGATACTATTCGGGTTAGGTATTAACCATTATGTAAAATAATGTGTTCATTATCAAGAGAATTTAATGTAGATTATATTTGCCCCTTGAACTATATCATTCCGTCTAATAGTTTAAGAGATATCGTAAGAATAAAATTAGACACGTTCGAAAAATGCAACAATTCGTACTAAAGACAAGCACAATTTTTATTTCTTGGCTTACTTAGTTCAAACTATATGATCTATATAAAAATTATGTACGAACGAATTGTAGATCCTTAAATTTGCTACATTAAAGTCTTGGGTAGCATATGTCTATCATCTATGCATGTTTCACAATAATCATGTTATTATGAAGAAACATCGATTTAAATTCATACGTCGTAACATTAACAGCGTCGTAAGCTTACGGCGCTGAAGTTTTCAGTAAAGTAACTACCGTTTGTATTGACTAGTTATTAACTATTTCATTGGTAGGCGATATCAGTAGTTTTTTGTAGCAAGAAAAGATAAATATTAATTTCATTCTATATCACAAAGCAAATACTGGTCATTATATCGCGGACTTTGATTGAAAAAACTTGTCTCGAACGATTATTTACATATAGTATGGAAAGTTTAGTTATTAACAATACATTAATAATAAAGATATGTAAGAGCATAAAGACATATACGATACAATATATGTATAACGGCTCGTGTGGCTCGTTATCAGAATTATTATTAAACTAGCGGTCGCCAGCAACTCCGTCCGCGCGCAATTAAAAAAAAAACGTAATTAGTAGCCTACGTGTTCTTCCAGACTATGTTCTATATGTATGCCAAATTTCATCAAGATCCGATCAGCCGTTCTGGAAATACCTTCAAACATACATCCATCTAAACATTCGCATTTATCGACTATGACTGCGCGAAATAAAAAAAATACTGACCGTATATATATTACATAATCATAATCTGGCCTTGTCCTTTAGATGGGTACAATATGCAGTACTTTTCTATACATTTTACCAACCCTCATAACTAAATTTAGTTGTTTTTTAGGCATATCTACAATATACTCTCGGTAAAACTTAATCAATTTTAAAACTATAGGTATCAGAATAATATAATGTTACTTATAGAATTATTTTATTATATTATTTATTAAAGTACCCAAGACTTCACTTAACCCTTTATAAGTTAGAGGCGATATTTTCACCACCATGATTTTTATTTTTTATCACCGAAATACGCACTGTGCATAGAACCTTGTTTTAGTGATTTTCAAAAAAAAATAAAGTTAGATTTTTGTTATAAATAAAAAATTCTTTTTTGTACTACTATTTTTGTAATAAATAAATACTTTACATTTGTAATAAATAAAAAACTTGATATTTGCAAAGTTTTTTTTTTGCAATACTACTAAAAATAAATTATTGTATATAATTACAGTAATAGAGTCGGGCGCGTGAAAAGAGCATACAATTGAGAATAGAACATGACCGGTACAAGGAATATATTTCTCACCATAGAAATACATATATATGTACATATACCACACAGAATACAGGCGTGAAGTGTAAGCAATTCCGCGTTTCGTCTGATGAGTGTGCGTCCCGGAGGCCTAATTTAGTCCTCTTTCCCTTCCTACACTTTTTCTTATAGGGATGGGAAGTGGAAGTGGACTTTCCGGATGAGAGGATGCATGGAAGTGTTTTCTTTCTGTGCATCCTCTCCTCCGTCGATTATAAGTAGGAAACGCATATGTAATTGCGTATGTCTATGGGCAACGGTCACTTTGCCATTTCAGCGATTTCATGTGGTCGCTCGCTCGTTTGCCACCTTATGATATAAAAAAAACATATTTTTACTTTCATTATATTATATACCCTTAACCATTATCAATTTTATTTTTCCACTGTCCACTTTTGGCCGTCAAAGGGTTAAATTGGAAAGCGTTAGGTTGACATGGTTCTAAAAATTCTATTTTCGTGTCACTTGCGTACCCTTTCTTTGTAATTTTTTTTTTAATGTGAATATTAAAATATTTGCTTGAATTGTCGATCGTTAATTATATGTATTTTCTGCAAACATAGTTGTCGACTGTAGATAATTCTACGTAAATATATAATTAGTAAAGTAATTATATAAGTAGCTACTAATCACTGCATGTTATTGACACTTAATTACAAACAAGTTGTCGACGAGGCAGTTGTTGTGTTCCCAACAATCAGCACTCGGGCTCAGTACTTCGTGATATCACCATAAGTACAGTCGTTGCAACAATGTTGTCTGTAATATTGTTATTTATAAGTGCATTATTATTTGCTATTTATAATTTCTTCATAAAATATAGACATTATTGGAAGAAAAGAAATATCCCAGAAGTTCACGGTGTTATGTGGAAATTTATCACAGGCAAGAAATCCTTAGCAGAAATTCATAAAGAAATTTATTACTCTTACCCCGATGAAAGCAACATCGGTCTGTATAATGGACTAAAACCCGCTTTAATTATAAAGGACCTGGAAAACATACAAGCTGTGTTACTCGGCGATTTCCAAAGCTTCTTCAGCCGCGGTTTAAACACGAACCAAAATGATTTACTAGCGGACAGTGTACTTTTTATGGAAGACTACGAAAGGTGGAGAATTGTAAGATATAAAATCACACCGGTATTTACTATGAAAAAACTCAAAAATATGTTTTACATAATGGAGCGATGCGCCAGAGATTTTATAGATTTTATAGAAAATAATCAAGAGGCAATGGACAAACCATTCAACGCTTTGTATACGTACACCACGGCTTCACTCACTGCATCTATTTTTGGTATTGAGGCGAATACTAAAAACACTATGGATTCACCTTTTATAGATATGGCTTCAAAGGCAACCGCACCGTCTTTCTCGACAAATTTAAAATTCACCCTAGCCAGTACAGTTCCGAAGCTGTTCAAATTTCTAAAATTGAAATTCTTCGGTGATCAAGAATCTTATTTTATAAATGTCGTAAAGCAAGTATTGAAGGAGCGCCGCAGACACAATGACAAGAGACACGACTTCATAGATACTTGCATTGAGTTACAAAACGAAGGTGTTATGCAAAATTTAACAACGGGATATCAGTTGATTCCATCTGATGAACTGATGGCGGCGCAGGCGTTCTTTTTCTTCATCGCCGGTGCTGACACATCCGCGCATTCGATGCTCTTTGTTTTGTTGGAACTTTCTGGAAATCCGGGGATACTTAAAAGGTTACATAAAGAAGTTGATGATGTTTTTGAGAAATGTAACGAAAAAGTAACCATTGACGACATCGAAGAATTGAAATATATGGATATGGTAATGAATGAAGCATTCAGAAAGTATCCAACAATCGGTACGATACAAAGAAGATGTACTAAAACAACAACTCTGCCCGTGGGACAAGTGAGAATTGAAAAGGACGTGCAAGTCATTATACCGATATACGCGATACACCGAGATGAAAAGTATTATCCTAATCCAGATGTATTTGATCCTGAAAGATTTTCTCCAAAAAATATTTCCAACATACCTAAGTATGCTTATCTGCCGTTTGGTGAAGGAAATCGGATTTGTATTGGTAAGTATAATTTCTTATTTGCACCAAAAGATGCCTAAACACTCACATATGAAATAAATCATTAAGTTATTTAAAAGTTTTGCATTACTAAGACATCTGTCCCCATAATTTTCATTCTAATCTATATGTACCGATAGTCAACAGTCATTAAGAATATTAAGTTTTCTTCTTTCTTGTTCTTTTTTTAAAAATTTGTAATTTTTTTTTTTCAGGAGCGAGATTTGCTCGTCTACAATTAAAAGTTGGCTTGGCGTGGCTTTTGAGACGGTACACATTGAAGGAACAAGTGTACGATCCAAAATATTTTGAACCCAGCTTCTTCGCACTGAGAGATACTGCAGCTCGCATTAACTTCATTCCAAGAAGAGCTTAAAATTGTCATTTAATTTGTATTTACTAATAAAATGTACCACTTAAATATCCTGACCAGGAATATATCTAACTAGTTAGCACATTAGAGAGCGATATAATAAAAAGTCGATTGGAGCGCCCCCTAGTAAAGGTTTTTATATTTTTTGTTAAGCCATATTCTTATTAAAAAAAAATCATACTGTGATTGTCGTTTTATTTGAAAAAACAAAAGATTGTTATTGTAAGCTTATTTTGGAAGGCCATATTTCTGCTTATCAAAAGCAATCAATAAGTAAAAAAAATACAAAAGTAATACATTTGAAGAAACCAAATACTTATTTGACGCATAATATTTTCCTGTTCGTTGTATGTTCAGAAATGTGTTTATATATAGTTGAATAAAAGCATGGTTCGTTTTCTTCTGATCTTCTGACGACGCGACGGTTAGGAAGTGTCTCATTTCCTGTTAGCCTTTATCTTTGATCTTTTTCTCAATATTATACTTTTAATGGTATATTTCAGGCATACTATATATATATACGATATATATACGGTATATCAAATAAAATGTACCAATGTGTTTGTTACGAACTTGATTGTATTTTTTAGTAAAATATAATTGAATTATTATTATAATTAAATGGCTTCATTATTCAATTAAGTAATGTACTTTATTTTTGAGTCAAAAACAAAATTAATTATTACCCTATATGCTCTTCCAGACTGTGCTTTACATCTATGGAAAATTCTAGCGAGATCTGTTCAGCCGTTTTGGAGATATCTTCAAAGAAACATCCAACTAAATATTCACATTTATAATATAAATAAGACTGGCTGTTGTCCGCGACTCTGTCCGCGCGAAATTAAATTAACAACGTAATAAGTAGACTATGTGTGCTCCCAGACTATGTTCTACATCTGTAAATTTCACCAAGATTCGTTGAGTCGATCTGGAGATACCTCCTAACAAACCCCATCCATCTAAATTTTCGTATTTATAATATCATCATCATCATACTCAACCTAAACTTGTCCAGTGCTGGACGTAGGCCTCCCCCATTGCCACAATGCACTGGATGCGGGCGGCACAGGACCGGGCAATTTTTTAATATTAATAAAATATAATTCTACACATTATATTTTAGTGTTTTATCAAATAATTTCTATTTCTAAGTTGGATAGAGATATCTCTTGACAAGTACTTATATAATAGTATTTATTTATAATGTTCAATGTCAATCTATAAACAATAATATAACTATAATTATAATAAACACTAACGTAATTTTCCATAAAATATTCCACCATTCGAAACAACTTAAGGTAATGGTTCGTGACAATAACCTATATTATGTTTACAATATTTTACTTAATAAAACAAGTATATATGTATGTTAATAATAACAACTAACAAAGCAAAATAACACGTGTACAACGTACCGGTAACTGACGACAGAGGGCGCTAGCGTATCTATACGATATCGAAGTATTTTTAAATCAACACACTACTCTATTATAGACGTTTCAACTTCAAATGCTATTAACTTATTCGCTGCATTAAGTTTAAATAAAACTAATTAAAAAATATATTTATTGGACCAAATTTTTTTAGAACAAAATTAGTAGAACTCTCTCCAGAACTAGTTTTAACTGTGTTTCGGGACATAGCACCTTCTTATCTATTACATTATG